TACAAGCTACACCAAGTCGTTTGTATAGCTGATAAAGTCTTTAAAGTCAAACCTTTAAAAGTCTTCACGGCTACGATAGTCTTTCCTGAGTTCTGTTTCACCACATCAAACGCCTCCGCTTTTAGCACTTTACCAAAAGCACCTTCGCCTATCGCGTGCAGAAGATTCTAATTTTCTCGATCAATTTCCCACTCTGGATCTAGATGTATCATCATTTCACTGATCTAATGCAACTGAAATACGAGACGTGTTATGGCATCCTAGAGTCATAATGATTGTGCCCAACTGTCATATAGCAATCTCAATAGTTTGAGGAGCTGGTATTCATTTAAGTACTTGTTTTGCCATGCTAAGTTCTAATTGTTTCTTCTGGATTAAAACATGCATTAATTTTTACTTCATTGTTGGCCAAGGTTTCTTAGATCTTAAATATATAGAAACACAAAACAGCTCAGCAATATAAATAGCTTGTGCACCAACTTTCATTGATGCTTTCAACATGCCTAATTTTGCAGTGAGACTAAAAGTGGAATACCAAGCTTGTAAGTTGTGATCCTGCTCCATAAATTTTAGAGCATCATTTCATTTCTATTGAGATCTATTTTTTTAACAGTAAATGACAACATAGGAGTCAACATAACTGGACTTAAGACGTGGGGTGAATTCACCAGTGATTTTTATGGAAATTTTCTGTATGAATGCAGCATATGCACTGTGTAAAGAATAGATTTCAAAAGAAATGGATACTGATAAGGTTTGGAAATTTACATTGCAAGAGTAAAACTTGCAAGCTTGTTATGCTATGCTACCTCTGCTAACATTTGATTTGATGGTTATCAGTGCCATCCTGGACATTAATGAGGGGGGGGTTGCTGATTTATTCATACATTCACTTGTGTCCAAGTGGTTTCTTTGAAAGCAATTCATTTATAGCAGGGGTCTCCAAACGTTACAGCCATAGGGCCAAATGAACTTTCATCCAGCATGTTGAGGGCCGACGAACCGTATATCGCTGGTCAAAGAGCGAATATTTTAGTAAAACGAAGTACTTTCTGCATAAAGTTTATTTTGTTTAATAATATTATTATTTTTTCCTAAGTGTCTCTGCGGGCCGGATTGAGAGGCCAGACGAGCCGCATCTGCCCCGCGGGCCGTAGTTTGGAGACCCCTGATTTATAGAATTAAGCATTTTACTGTAAAAAAAACGTTCAGGCACAACTGAACTTATGAATAGTACACATTACAACCAATTTGCATTGTTGAGACAACTCTGATGATTGCAATTTTGGGAAATATGCATCTGTGAGTCATTGTATTTGAAAATTAATCAGCATGTTAATTTCAGTAAAGAACAAAGTAAAACAGTATATGGTAGTTTCCTCGATGTTTGAACAATTTCATGCACAATTGACTTTTTCATCTAAGGTGTGTATAAAAAAGGGGATTTGCAATTTGCAGTAGCATCACTATATAAGTATGTATTATTGTATTGACTTTCAGGCTTTTGAGAATCAGCTACTGCTGAATCATACAAATTCTAAGTGTCAGCTGATTATAAAAATAAGCAGTTTTTTTATACACCCTATATATACCCATTGCTTTCATTCAAATATGCATGAATCTAATTTTTTAGGTAAAGAACTGATATTTAAGAATTATGTTAAAACTAAAGGAAATTGAAATGATGACCTGTTGTTGTAGTTAAGAAATTAAAAGCAATTACTTTGTTCAACAACTCAACAAGAAAACATATAAATTAGTTAGTACAATGCAGGGAATACTTTTTAATAGGTAAGACTCAACGACACACATATAATTAATGTTCTTGTGCTATTCTGCCCCCTCATCGTTATCATCAAGCAAACTTTTATCATATATCAAACGTCTATGAAGCGTACACTGTGTATTAAAACTGTGTTTTGAATTGTTGCTTTTATTGTGTTTAAATTGTGTTTGTAATTGTATGCGTGTTGCTGAAACTGGAGATTAAAAATACACAGTTTTCTTGCACTTAAAGGTTACGTAAATATGTGATTAGTTTCATGTTTGTAGATGTAGATCGTCCAGGTCAGTAGGGTTATGAGAAGGACTGTTTTGTTGTTGTTGACTGACGTTTCGACAACCTTAGAGATAGTCATCTTCAGTCCTTCTAAGGTTGACTCTGAAGATGATGACTGCTAAGTTTGTCGAAACGTAAGTCAACAACAACAAAAACAGTCCTCAAACCATTTACTTTATTACGATGATTAGTTTCCGTGGTTAAGGAATCACACAACTTGTTACTGCTTGTCTTGTATCTTCACGTTTGTAGTATTACTTTTTGTATTATTCGTGTAGAAATGCAATTGTTGCTTTCTATGAAATACATCCAATTGCCTGAAAGGTTTGTACAGTAATTTTCTGGAAAAAATAATTTTTACTTAATTGGTGGTGCACTTCTATGTTATAGAGGACTAGACTTTTTTAGACAAATTCTCGAAAGAAAATATGTAGTAATTGCTCTACTGCGGTGGGCAATTCATGTAAGCGATGTTCCAACTGTGGACAGCTCATTCCAAAAAGGCCCTCTTCCGTCTCAATACCACAATATTCGACCACGACAAGACAGAAAATGCTGCTGATGAAAAGGGTTAGATTTGGGTTCTTTAATGTATCTTAGGGTATTGGAGCAGATGCTAAAATATCAATGTATAATTTGATTAGTTTCGGAATTGGACTTTTTTGTAGGCTCAAACTCTTCATCAGAACCACGGTTATCACGTGCTGTTAATGTATCACCCATCAACCACTGGAGGTCCAACCGTCTGGGATTATGCTATAACTCCTGGCTTGGCGACAGGTTTTATTAGCAGCAGTGGTGTTATTGGAAAATCAGCCAGAAACATTTTTCAAACCGGGATGAAGAAGTTATGGCAAGATAGAAATGAAGATAGTTAATCTACAGATCTTTCGTCTACAAGTACTATCCCCCTCTACCTCCCTTCCGTGTCGTTTTCTGTTTCCCTTCTATTTCAGCATCTTCATCTGTAACACTTTGTAGCTCTGTTACAACCTCTCTTCCAGTTAGTAGCGCTGTTTCAACATTCATTCCTATACGCAAAGATCTTCATTTTGATACGATTTCCGCGACTTTCGAATCTTCCTTCCTCTCTGCTGCTACAAATACCAATACAAATGTCGTCACTGATTCTTTTAGCACTAATCCCACTCTGGCCTCTTCCAGTGGATGTACCTCGATCGGCAATTTTTCTTCTGTTTCAACCTCTTCTTCCTCTTCTTCAAGCTCCTTCGTCGCTACAACATCTGTTTCTACCATATCTAAAACGACTGCTTCATCTGTCCCTACAGCAACTTTTAACACAGGTCAGGAATAGTGTACATAGGTGTTAGCATTAGAATGGTTGATTTTTTAGGTTCTTAGAAGTTTTTAGGTTGTCGCAAAACAAGTTCGATATTTTGTTGATTAATTTTGTCATCAACATGGAACACATTTCACAACAATAAGCATGTCCAAACATGACTACTTTCAGCTTTAAAATGTTAAAACTTGATTTGGTTCTTTGGCAGCTACGTACATGCCGATGATGCGTAGCAATATTTCTTCTGTTATAAATAGTGATCAACGAAGCAAATGGCTATGTCTTGAATTTAAATTGTTTCATGTACACTTGGGAACTGTTGTAGCATTGGCCAACGAGAATGGTGTAGTGTGTGGTTTTGGATGTGTCTCAGGAATGTTGAAGGTGCATAATCGGCCGTGACTCCCGGCGACCTATCTGTCTTTTTTACTAGTGTGGTACCGGGGAAAACAGTTGCTCCACCATTTCCTGGTCCATTCGACGAAGATGTCGTAAGACCTGGTGAGTCTTACATTTGGCCAGTTGACAGAATGTTTGTTGCTGGAACAGATGATTTTACTCACAATATATAACTACGTAAATCTTCCGCATTTTTTTTCTTTATGGATTCTATTGTTTTCGTAAAGAAACTTCCTTGAATATGTATATTATAGTAAATTTTCTATTTTTCTGCCTGATCTTCAAGTGGAAATATTTTTGTTTGATATCATTGTATTATAAAAAGAACAGATTTTATATTATGCGCGTCATATCACGTAAGAAGTCCAAATAAAAAATTTCTGAGTCGTGAAATAAGACATTTATAACTAAAATATAGACATTTATACTTGCAAGTGTATGTGCATACATTTTACTTACAAAAAGAGCAACATGCAAAAATTTTCTATTTATAAAAAGTGCACATAAAAATAATGATAGCACAGCTTTCAGCAACAAAATACTACGAATTATATGCATCTTCTTCTTCAACATCTTCATGAAAGTCATCTTCATGAACGTCATCTTCATCGCTACAGTCTGATTCATTGTCACAATCATATTCGTTGACTATGGACTGTTCTAAGTCGTGAAAGTATTGAAAACCTTTTTTCAACTGCACTCTGGCAAATGCAATTCCGCAGTTTGTGATGGCGAGATGACCATGCAGAGTCTTCATTGTGTCTTTTCGCACACAATAGCGATGTATATATTCATCTAGAAGAAAGCTCTATAAAACAAACGTAATCATGTCAATAAGTATGTTCGTATTTTAAAAGATTGGTGTCATTTTCACTACTTATCTGACCTCTGTTCCAAAGAAAGAATAGTCATCAGATTCATCAAAATTATTTGTAAATACTAAAAAAATAATTGCAAAATATGTTAAACGCATGTACATTACATTCCACAGTATATAAATACGCAACCTTTAAGCTTGTTTTAACATAATACGAACATTTATCTGTATACCTATCGTATCTTTAATCTTCTCTTTTCTTTCACAAAGGAGAGGCAAAACGTTTTCCAAATAATAAATCACATAATTTTTCATCTCCATGTTCAGAAGTGCTTTTTCCTCTTCCAATCTTTTAACTAACATGTACTTATCGACAATTTGTGCCTTGAAACGCACAAGTATATCTAAATATTGTGAAGTAAAATAGTTGAAACTAAAAGCGAGCATGGACGTCACAATATACATAGAACTATATTTGCTTTTCTTTTACACACCATGTGAAGTCGTACTATCTATGTCACACTGGTTAAACGACCAAACAAAATCTCCAGACATGACTTCTTCCGCACTTGTCGTAGGAAGACCACACAGACTTGAGAGGCAATTTAACTCTTCTACGGTGGATGTTATTTCGGACTTCTCTTTAGCGCATTTTTTTCTCATGGAAGATCTTCGTTTGCTAGAATCTACAGTACGTACATGTATAATATAGGTAACAGCGACAAATCGCAATTTTACCGTAATTTGGCAAAATGCTTTGAAATAATTCGGCACAAAATAAGTGTAGGTGGCCCATAAATATAAGTCTACATATTTCTACGAGAATGGTGTAGATGGTATTTACCCGTTTACTTTTAGATAAAGCACAATTTATCTCGAATAAAACTGTTCCATATTTTGCATTTTGTGTCGCCTACATCTAAAATCTAACTCACTTAGATTTTGCAACGAACTTTAAAATAATGCTTACAGTTACTCATAAAAAATCCCAACAAAACTCACCAGCAAGAGAAGTTATTTCTTTTGTGCGTCTAGTGACTGAAAAATACAATATTTCTAATCTCTTCTGCAGCTTTGCTACAGTGATTTTTGCCAGCTGCGACTTTCCTTGCTCAAGAAGCTGCTCCTCTGTCACATGTCCATCTAAAAGCTGTCTTTTCAATTCCAGCAATCTTGTTGCATTTCGTTCAAGTTGTTTCACTTTGTTTTGAGCGTCATGAACGAAACGCCTATCACCCAAGAATGTCTGCGTTTGATCATCATTGGCTCTTACAAATTTTTCCAAATGTTGAGCATTTTCAACAGTTTGATGCAAAAGGAAGAACTCTTCGGCGGCACCTTTCAACGAAGAAACTCCAATTTGTTGTTCTAGAATCTAGACAGACAACAAAAAGTATTAATCTATCTACGTAATTACTAAGCACTCCATACAATACTGTATAGCTATATATTTTCCGGGGGTAAAATGAATTGTTAAAAATAGCAATTGCCAAACATAAAAATTTGAGCCAGGCCAAGAATTATTTCATATAGTTTCGTTTTAAATGATGTTTGAACAAAAATCAACCATAAGTACAGAACTGTTCAATACTAAACCATGTTTCTAAAAATATTTGAAAGTAAACAATGTTATAACAGAGGTATACCTCTCGCAAATTGTTGAACTTCTTCTTTCCACTGCATTATCGAGTCGTCCAAGTCTGAATCCTGGACATTACGTTCGCTTCTTAACTTTACAAAATCGTCCCTTGCAGATGAAAGTTACCTTTCTGTCTTCGAAACACAAGTACACATAATGAAAAACAGTGAAAAATGATCATATTAGCGCAGTAAACGTATTGGGTTCAAACAAGACCTATAAACAACTATGAACTGTAAATTCATTTCATATTATACACGTACGTAGCACACATTAGAATCATGGACTCACACTAGTATAATTTTGAAAATTATCTGAAGACATATACAAAGTGTAACCTTTTCATTCGAATAACAAGTGATTTTGCCAAATTTAAAATTTTTCGCTTGTTCCAACTCAGAAGATGTTCAGTAGTGCATTCTTCTCGTCCTTAATACGTACAACCATTAATGTGCACATTAGTTCGTGGTCTTAATCGACCAAAAAACCTGAGTGGATATACAGATAAGAAAATAATACTCACCGGAGGCCGTCATATTTTCAGTAGTCGAGCCAAGTCTTGACAAATACGAATTTATTTGCTCATCTTCCGCTCCAAATAACCTAAAAAGTGTGAAACGAATCATCTATTCAAGACAACTCATTTAAGATTTATGTAACCACGGTTTAGTTACGTGAAATACAGTATTATTACAGTTTGAAAAAGCACGCTTTGTCTCATAACATCTTTAATAGAGCATTATCGTCGGCGTATGTGGTATTTAGCTTACGAGTTATTGGGTAAACAATCATAACTTACGTATGTAACGTACACCTGACATGACCAACTGTGTGATTTCCCATGCATTATAGACAGTGCTGGTGCAATATTTTTTAGCGCATTTTGATTTTCTTCCGATGTAACACGTAGAGCCCAAGGCCAATATTTGCATATAATATCTTCCCACATATATTTAACTTTATGTGGTTGTAAAAAATTCATATGCAAGTAGTGAGCATAGCCATAAATTTCTCCTCTGAACATGTTCAAAGTAGCTTGAGCAATCGAGTGCCTGCATCCAGCAACTTCAAGTCCAGTCTCGTCTTGGTTTTTCTTTGATTTGGAGACCATTTTGCAGCTTTCCAATGGGTGTCGCCACAAGAATTATCTTCATTCTATAAAAATGCTTTAACCTAATAATAGATTACTACCTTTCAATCCTACTTCATAACACATTACCTGAATTGACTTTGAACCAAGACTTTTAAATGAGAGTCCACAAAACTATTGTTTGCAATCAATACATCACGATAATAACACTGGACTGGACCCTGTGGTAAAAGTAAGTTATCAATTTAGAACACAAGCACTCATAAACCCAACAATGCAGGTAAAGAATCAAACATGAGCAGTAGGTCTTTTCTTGGATTTGTTAAATTGGTTCAATTTATTAAAACATAAAAGTATCTGAATCGTTTACAAAGGGTAATTCCATTTTACAAGTTTGAGAATTCGCCATCCAATATCACAAACCTTGGTACTTTGCTGAATCTGTACACTTTTGATTTCCATCAACATGACATGAATGTTGATCAATACTACAAGGAGGGCAATTTTTCCATGTCTGCTCATGAAGAAGGTCAATTTCATGTTGGCAATAGCTCCATTCAGCAAATGATTTTCTGAATGTGACTGAATTGATAACATTTTCCTAGTGAAACCAGTTCCAAATCAAAACATAGCACAATTATATACTATTTGTTGATTATGCAAAACCCCACTGTACTATAGTATAGTTCTCATACTTCAAACATACACATTATATGAAGCCTACAAAAATTGACATGTGCTTGTTACAAATTTTAAACAAATTTTCCTTGACTTCCCAGAATTTACCAAAATTCACAGAAAGAAATGATCATAAAGGATTATTTTGAAATCAAGATTTACGTCTTGTAGCTTTTGGTTTGCAAGACAAAAAATATACACAAAGTAAAAAGCACACTAACAAAGATATGTAGATAGCATAAAAAATAATCACCCTTCCTCTAGAGCTGGAAATATCTTCCAAACTTCTTACAAAAGCAGATTGTGATGACCCAGGCATCCTCTTTCTAAATGCATCCCACAAATTAAAGACATCTTGACTAAATATGTAATGAAAATTTTCAGGGCTACCAGGCCACCAGCCACTCTCAATTATACTGTCAACAGAAATTGGTGACCACTTCCATTGACAAGATGAGCAATGTACAGTGAACCAATTAATATCAAATCATCCTGTTGAAGAGCTTATACCATTAACTCTTCACAATTAAGGGAACTCTGCTCGGTTGAGGTAATATATTGCCAAATGTACTTGCTATTTCAAATTCTCACTATGCAAAATGACGTAGAAAATTGTATAGATAGGACATTACAAAAACCTAAATATTTTGAGAATGAAAAGAGGTATGCATAAACTGTTTTAGAAAGTACACTGTTATTTTCAAAGTTCTATTAAATGAAACTATAATTTAAGTAGTAAAATTTTTAAGTCATATGCCCTTTAAGAACTACTCAATTTCAATTGTCATTCACCGAGTCAAATACGATATTCAGAGCAATAGTAAAGTTTGTAACACAACTAACTCGTTGTTTTACAAATCCAAATTTATATTTAGGTGGCACTCCATATCCAAGCATACCGCTCGAACAACTTTTTGATTTTTTGAAAAATGGCTACAGAATGGAGCCGCCTGTAAATTGTCTACAAGAACTGTACGTTGACACTCGCCATAATCAACGGTTCAACGTAAAATACTTAAAGGTCTACATTTTTTTCATTTCAGTTACGACTTGCTGATGAAATGTTGGAATGAAGAGCCTCACGATCGTCCAACATTCACTGAACTCGTTGAAGAACTGGACGATATGCTGTCCAAAATGACCGACGAGGTATGTTTCCTTAAGCATAAAATGTTGCAATGGTTTGAAGCCAAAAATCCAGAATTAGTTTTACGAGTGGAAAACTCGACGAAGCCATATTAGCTAGATTACAAAAATTTGTAATTTTTTCAACCCAAAATTAAAAATCTTCAGACAATTCTATTACTTCGGGATTGGGGAATTGTAATCTAAGATGGCTTTGATTCCAAGAGATTTGATTTTTGGCTCCAAACCGTTTTTGAAAGTGTGAGGTTTGTAATCGTAAATCGTTTTTTTTAACAAACGTCTCATAACTTTAATTTATGAAACAACTGACAATGGGCATTTTCTTTAACAACAGCAATATCTTGATATTGGAGAGCTTGTTGGCCCAATGCAGCCACAGGAAACTCCGCTTCAAGAGCCATCAAGTCCAAGCGGGGAATCCACTTGCCCAAGTGTATTTTCACACATGCAAAAAGCTTCCGATGAAGATGAAAGTCCAAAAACAAGTCGTAATTCTGATACTACGTCATTTGAAGAAATTCGTGAGATTACGTTGAGCATTCCAGTTGCAGCCGACGTAGAATGTTGAATGTTACTGATAAGAGACTATGATAAAAAGCATATTTGTTAAGTAGTCAAATTTGTATGACCAGTTCATACACCAATAACTACAACTTTTCCGAACCCCCGAACCAACGCTTGCAAGCTATATTTATGTGTAATTATTCGGAAGTGGTTTTTGGGCGTTTGCATGACTTGCAACTACGCCATTCCGTTTATACCTTATAATCAAAAATATGACACAGTCACACACTACGTAACATAACATGACAATTTACAACATAATGTTAAATATGGTGAAACTGCTACTGCTAGAGGTGCTGACTGATAGAATCTTCATAGCAGTTACCACAGCTACAAGGATTGTACCAGTAAGCACCTCTACGAGAGTTACGTCAGTCACCACAGAGTAACATCTACTGAGAAAAAAACATCTATATATCAATTGAACTCTGGTAAATTTTACCAGACCTTAATTGATAAGTAGATATTTTGTTCTTTATTATCAAGTTTTGTGAGTTTTTTGAACTCATTACTTGCGACATTTAGAATTGAGACATCGATAGGGAGAGTTTTCAAGTTGACGGCTTTCGAACCAGTGAAAATATTTCACATATCAAATGTGTGTGATAAGTTTTAAAACTGCATGCCGTCATCGTTTCCAGTTGAAAGATACATCATGAACTAAACGACCCGTTCGCACTACATGTAGTTAACAAACCACTTCGGTCAGATAACACATATGCCACGTTGTCCAGGCAGGGTCACAAAATGCACTTGCAACTTCCGTAATAGTTACTTAGTACTTCAAAGTTATTTTGAACTAAAAATTCCTGTCATTGACAAATGCTATGCACAAAATTAGTGCAAGCAATTAATCGTTTTTCTGACGTCATGAGTATATAGCAATTAAACTAATAAAGAATGTCAAATACCACAGAAGCTATCCCGCAGCGTGCTAATTTTACATATTTTATTTGGCCATTATTTGATCGCACACATAAAGACTTTAATCCCTTTAGAGTGCATGTGAAGCAGATCTTGCTAAACTATTTGTATATGTGAAAATTTGAAAAGTTTCGACGAAAGGAAGGAACTTGAACATCATTGCTCAGTTGAAGATGTTTTGGTATGTGAAAGACGTGTGTATATATGTTTATTGCCGCCACGCTAGGCTTTTACAGCGTACGACCCATGCTTAGCATAGAGTCTATCAGTAAATCACTTAGTCATTCCGAACCTAACAAATGTAAGAGCGTACTGGCATGGTTTTGGGTTTTTCAACATCAGTATCATGCGTATGTTCATAGTTATATGTTTCGACCCAAATCCTGTAATCGTATAAAGCTATTGCAATGAATACTTGGGGGCATTTACACACCAATTATCTTAAAGAGTAACAATCCACCGAACACCACGATGCACAACATCATCCTACAGATTACCCTGCTGTAAAACACCACGATGTGGAAAGTCATTCTACAGACTACCAAACTACCATACACCACAATGTTGAACATCATCCTATAGACTACTACCCTACCAAACACCACGAAAGTTGATACCACCCCTGGCAGAACACATTTTTCTCCAACATTTTTCTTTAAAATGAAGACACGGTAAAACAGACAACTGGACTGACAAGAT